CTGCCCACACCAGAACCCTTTTCCGTTTCTTTCTTCCTCCTTTCAGTGCTCCCAGATCGTCACAGCTCCTTCCACTTGCAACGCTCACCTTGAACTCTTCGGACCATGCTTCTCCTGCAGCAGAGACTACTGGCCTCCCTGTTTGGCTGTGCGAGGCACCACCTTTTTCATCCAGGCAGGTAGACGGCTACTACCTCCCCCCCCCCCCCCCCCCCTTTATCCCCTATTTTGAGTTCTGCTTTCTTCTGCACACTTCCCCTCGTTTGCAATAAAATACCTTGGCCGCTTTTTTCTTTTTTCTTGCCCACACTATTCACTTCAAAAAATGTGCATCCTGTCGCATCCTGCCTTACGCCGCAGAGCCGTCCGCTTCCTCCCTGCTCATGCACCACAGTGCCAGCTGACTGCAAGATATCCACCAAAAACTCCACAGGTTAATTTAGATCCTCCACATATAGTTACTGCATACCCCCATCTTCGTCTTCTTTTTTTTTGTCCTTTTTTTGGCACTAGTTTATCCCCACCTTGTTGCTATTGTTATTAACTTATTCAGACTTATTCTTGCATTTGCTTTTGTTGCTCGTGATGTGTACCAGGAGGCAAACTTTTGGAATTGCTGGTCACCATCACAAACTTCTGAATTGCCCATCATCATCATCATCATCATCATCTTCATCATCATCATCATCATTATGGTCACCATCACAAACTAATGAATTGCCCATCATCATCATCATCATCATCATCATCATCATCATTATGCGAGGATCAGGGTCCTCGGTAGGCCTAAGGGCTCCTGTTTGCAGCATTGCCCGCCCTAAGTGAAGGCGGAGGTTATTGGTGCAGTGCTGCTCTTTGGACACAGTGTGACTATCTGGCTTTTAATGTGATGGTGTAATCTGGATTTTTCATCTCGCTGTTGCTTATTTTCCTTGCAATTATCATTATCATCATCATCATTATCATCATCGCATAACAGAAAAAAGAAAAGCACAGAGGATGCGGCCACCATGGCCCACAAAAAAAACAGTTCTGCTCATTAAAATTTCATTTTCAAGGAGGCAGTCTAGGACTCGTCTGAGCATCTTGCAATAACTCTCTCGAAAACTTTCTGTAATTTTTTTTGTTTTTCTCTGTAATTTAGCGGTTCACAGATTTACACAAAATTTACTCCCAACATAGGCTACCAGAGTGGCCCGGGAACACTTGCCGGCCGGGCCAAAAAAAAAATAAATAAATGATAATGTCTTATTTGAAATCTGGTAACGAATTTCGACGTGACTCTGAGGCAAAAGTTGTGCAGTTTCTTTTTCTGCATAACATTCTTTTTTTCGAGGTTTTTTTTTTGGGGGGGGGCTGGGGCCTTCCTTTGTCGTTGCACGGCCGGACCAACCGGGAAAATAGGGTGAGCCGGGCGGCCCGGCTAGCTCCCAACAGATTTCCACCAAGTCCCAGTGTGTATCACTCCCAACCGTTATCCAGTTTGCGGACGACTTGGCAATTCTTTCTTTTTTTTTTTTGAACGACTTGGCAGCTCTTTTTTTTTTTTCTTTTTTTCTTTTTTTAGTGGCTTGGCAGCTTGAACCCGGGTAATGGGGATGACGTGGAAGTTCTAATCTGCGGCTCACACGCCCCTCGTTTGTTGTCCTCTTCTCCCTCTCTGCCTACGGTTTACCGGCAGCTCTGTTTGACGATACGTATATATATTCGTCACATGAATATCAGAGCGCGAAGGCGAAAAAAACAAAAAGAAACAAAAAAGATATCAATTCATTTTTAATCTTCTTCCTTACAACTCCCCCTGTTCAGAACCTCTTTGCGTACAAGGCCGCCCACGTGGATGTAGGTTGAGCGCCGGCTGCCCCCACCCCCGTGTGTCATATCGACCCACTTGTATGGTGTTTTCCAGCCCCAATACCATGCATGGATTTACAACTTCCCAGCCACGGTAAATCCATGGGTTGCAGTCATGGCAAATTCACGGTCGCAGCACCCATGGGGTAAAGGTAGCGTTTGCAGCCGCCCTGGTAAGTTGGCAACAGCCGCCCTGGTAAAGTCGCGTTTTGTACCCCTGGTAAATCCATGGCTTGCACTCATGGCAAATCCACGGTAACCGTTGCACCAACCATGGTAAAGGCCGCGTTTGCAGCCATGGTTAATCCATGGCTTGCACTCCTGGTAAACCCACCCATGGTTGCAGCACCCATGGTAAACCCACCCATGGTTGTACCACCCATGGTAAACCCACCCATGGTAAACCCACCCATGGTTGCAGCACCCATGGTTGCAGCACCCATGGTAAACCCACCTATGGTAAAGCCGCCGTGGTAAACCCACCCATGGTAAGGCTGCCGTGCTTTGCAGCCGTGGCAACAGCCGCTGACGGTCCGATAGTCCACGGTACCCTTTCCAACAAGAGTAACGGAAATGAATGTGCAAAACGCAGTTCGTTCGAACGCAGTTCTTTCCTAGAACGTTTCACCGAAACTACGGTGATAATTTCAGATCTGAAAACGAACATAAAAAAACAGAAATCAGTTTGTTGAACTTTGTGTTCTCACGGTTCCTCCAAGTTGACGGGTTGATGTCAACACGACGCACACAAGCCATCTCCGGTTCGTTCAAGACTCAAAGACAAGACAGACAGTACACCGGCCTCTCCCCATGGCCGAGCGTATGTGCAGTGCAGTCAATGCACTATTCCTTAATTGGCCATCCGATCAAGGCAATGGAATGGTTGCAGAAAAGCAGCAGCAGCAGAGCTCACAATGCTACTAGATCTTTTTTTGAATTTCTAACACATTCAAGCGAGTGAGAAATGAGTGAGAAATTCAGTGAGAAATGCCCAATAGCGACGAAAAAATAAAGTGAAAAGCAAATGAGCTGCTCGGTTACGTTAAACTGAGTGTGAATGAGCCTAGACAGCTTAGAAAGCACAAGTGACAAAACGTAGTGCGGCTACTCCCTCATCTATGAGATATGCAGGGTCTAAACGTATAGTCTCTCTCTCTTCCCCCCCCCCCC